ACCATTTTCAAATATTTGAGAAGATCTCACCAAAAACATCTTTCTTTTACCAACATAGTCCAAAACCCTCAATTTCTATTTTAAAAGAAATAAGAAAGTAAACCCACTTTCAAAATCACTCATCTTCTTGAATCAACAAAAATCCATTTTAAAAAAAAGAACAAATGAAAGGATGATTTCGAAAATCATTTAGATCTTGCAAAAATATATATATAACTCAAAGAAAATTTCTACGTCAAACTAGAAGAGGAAACATGCATTAGCAATCTCATTGAGGTTTTCTTTCATTCTTGCCATTTCAAAATTCCTTGGGTCAAACCTGCCCGTCCTCATAAATGTCAAAATTCCTCCCAACTTCAACTCAGGCTTGAGGTCACGGTGAACTACACCCTGGTGATGACAGTAGGCAACCACACTCAAAATCTGTACCATGACAGCCTTTGCATCTTCTTCCGAGTATTTTCCACCTCTAGAAAGTATTCTATCCAATAATTCACCTCCTTTGCATAACTCCACTACTACATAAACATTGACGTCATCCTCATAGGCATCATAAAATTTCTCACACCAATATTTACTCAGTAATGTTAGGTATCATGAAAAGTCTTTCATGAAAATAATCATGAAAGCTTTATGACCTTTGGATTACACTTAGAATAAAACACCACACACTAATCAAGGTAATTCAAAAATCATAACTCTTTCGTAATCATTTTCATGAAAAAAATTTCATTATTTCTAACTTTTCTCATATTTACTACTGAATAGAGTTGAACATATTAATAAATAGGCTATTACTAACTCTCATGCATATCAGGCTCAGTCCTTAGAGTTAGGATTTAAAGTAAACAGTCCAAAATAAATAACAAGAAACAATGTATTTACCTCACACAACCATTATTGTCAATGTCAGCAACAAGGAACTGGGAAACTGACAAGGTCCATAACTTAGAATAACATTTCTGTCATCTGTAGCAAAATTAAGGGGTTGTTTGGCATCTACTAGATAAGATAAAAAGCCAAAAAGTTATCAAAAAATCCAAAAAGATCCTTTATCTCGGAAGTTTGGGCGGCAAAACCCTGTCTGACTTTGCAGAGGGTAAAATTACATTTCTGCCCTTCCTTTTTGAAATTGCATCAGTCGAATATATCACAGAATATACACGATCAGAAAGCCCCTTTCCTTCTCCAACCTCACAAATCCCTCAGTCAATTGAACAAAGTCTAGTCCGTCGAAGACACCGCCCACTGCCGGAGATCCGTCACACCCTTCACCTTGCACCACCGCCACAGCCGTGCCAAAGGCAGACCTCGACGCCATCACCTGAAAACTGTAACAGACAGGAAGGACCATCCCTCGTCCAGATCTGCACCACCGCCGACCAGATCTACACTACTTCGGCCCGTATCCCCCAAAGAACAAGGTAACACCTCTTCCACGCCACTGATTTTGGGCATGTGAACCAAATCTGTACATTTCCCCATTTTCGGCGATTTGGTAGTTGCGAGGAAAATCAATGATTTTTCCTGAATCGCCATGTACTCACTGTACTATCACACTTCCACTTTCCAACCTTTTCTTTTGTTTACCTTCTTCATCACTCTCTCCTCTGTTCCTCCACTTTCCTTTGTCTTTAATGGCTGCCCCATAACCTAACCCCTCTATCATACAATATGCGTGGTTTGATGTTTTAGCCTTCTAGGTCTCTCTCTTTTTGGTCGGTGAAGATGACCCACACAGCCCTTCAAAAAATTTGTAGATTTTTTTGTCCTGGGTGTCTGATGGTATTGGGGATTTTTTCTTCCGTGAAGCTTTCATTTTCTCAGATACCCATTGACAAAATATTATATATTTTGACAAATTTTTTCTTGTTTTTTTTCTCCTGGTAATGTTGGGCTTCTATGCTTGTAATGTTCACAATTTTCGGTTTGGATATTTCACAGTTGCTTGAGTTTGTTGGGTCTTTAATTGTTCAATGATGTTAAACTTTTCTAGCATCCAAAGCACATTGTCAAAAATTTCGGCCCTCATGTTGTTCACCTTATAGATATTGTAGGTGGAGTATAATTATTGGTGTTGAGTGTTAATTGTTCAGCTTATAGACAGTGTTGTCCAGCTTATAATATAATTCTTATAAATTATCTCATACGGTAAAAAAAAAAAAACATAATAATGGTATTAACAAAATCCTCTAACTTGGTTTGTTAAGAATGGAAGTATGTATTATTCTATCTGTCTTATCTATTCCGAATTCTATAATACACTCTTTCGTAGGATGTATATGTCTTCTTTTTTTTATAGAAGGGTTTATTATTTTGTTATGATCTTTTCTGAATTTTAATTCTCAGTTGATGTGTCAACCATTTGGGTCTGTTTATTTTTTGCTTCTTCTAAGCATCTACAAACAAAATGGAGTTGATGTGTTTCCAGCTCGTTAGTGTATGAGAACTTTTTATTAATGGACCTTATCTGCATTTCATAAAGGAGAAATAACTGTGCATTGCTTAAAACATGAATGATCATAGTAACAGGAGAAACAACTGTTTTCCTTTTCCATTATCTTGAGTAATAAGCACATGACAAGCAATTCTAGAAACCAATTTCGATCCAAAATTTAGGTTGCTGCTCTAAAGATAATATATATTGCATTTCATAGACTTATATTCAGTACATAAACAGTTCAAAGCTTAAAGATCTTCCAGGTGATAGCATTTCAGATTAACAACTGACAGCTTTTGTAATGTAGATAAAAACTTTTCTAAATGGAGCCAGAAGGTGAGTTGGTTTGATATGGATAAATGAATCATGGATTATCATGATGCATCTATATATCTCACAGCGCAAGTTGCATAAATACCAAAACTCTATGCAGTAGAAGCTCCAATATCGAATGATTCAAAAAAATAAAAAATACAGAACAAGTACGTAGGTGATCAGATTCTGTCTTAATCAATTAATGGCAGAACTCCATACTATTGAATAGCTAACTGGAGGGTCATAGCACCCAGAGCTCATTTGATCACTGCAGTGAAATATATCTGTGCATGTTTATTATGAAAATCCTTTTCAGCAGTAATCCAACAATATAGAAGGCATGAACAAGAAGAACCGCATCAAGAAGAACATGAAAACTATGAAATCCAGATACGGTTTACTTTTTTTTTCAATTGTTTATAGATGGATGGAATTCTTAAATACATTTGCTATTACCATTTTCATGTTGTGCCAATGGTAATTTTTTGACATTCACTATGTGTTGTTTAGTACGCATGGAGCATCACAATCGTCCACACCTTCGAGACATTTGCGTAAGCTGTGGTAAAACAGTCTCAACCGCGTCCAGACTAGCTCACAAGAAATTGGGAGGACTACACGTGCGCATGTTCTTGCAACTTGTTATCAAAGTGTGTACTAGGTTCAAGGGCAGCTTCCATACAATGACAATGCACGGATACAGGCTATCGCAAGGCCTCGAGGAGCGTACACATAAGCGTCCATGAGGTGAAGCAACTGCAAAAGTACGCGTCACTGAAAAAGGATTGGCAGTCGTGGGTCACGCTGATGGACAGCAGGCATGGCCAACCGGCATAAGTTACAATGAAGCAACTGGTTTAATACAAGATCCGACGACTGGTGGCCCATTATGAAGGTCATAATATCCTCAGCTCTTCTTTGTATATCCAACTGCAATAAATATATTACAATATTTATCAAATTCTGCAAACATATTTTAATGTGACCAAAACAAAACTAAACTTGTTAGATTTTCACCCCAACAACCTTGTTTACTTGCCAAAGTGCTAATCAGTCTCTCTATTCCCTTCCTTGTAGACTGTTTTGTGGAATTTTTAATGCTTTGTGCGTTTCTGTGGCCAACTACTTGACTGCTTCACTTCATTAGCTAATGTCAGTACTTCACGCTAATGGACTTCATGAGACCGTAAGCATGGCGCAACACAATCTAACATTCTAATGGTATTTCCCTTATTGGTGCCACCTCTACTTTCCAATTGGAACAGTCTCTCTTTTCTATAGGCCTTTGCTGGTCTTAATGATAGGAAATGAAAGAAAATACGAATAAACTAATTTTCCTGTTCTCGCATAGAAACGTGAGTTCCACCATTGCATTTGTTGAGAAAGAATTTTTTGCTAATCATCTCTCATACATAAAAATGAGATTATGCAGCTGGAGGGAGTTTATAAAAATTCCTGACTGTCAGGAAAATGAATCTGCCGAGCTGCTGCATAAAAGCAAGCCCGAGTATTTACTTCATCTATATTCCATTACTAAATGGCTCTTGAAAAGCTCTAAATTCAGAGCATATCAGTAACACATCTATTTGGGTTTTCTCGAAGCTGAGAATTTTGTTTTCTCTTTTACATTCCTGAATGGATGTACCTAAACATCCAGGGTCGTGTTCATTCTGCTTCAAGGCACTGGATAGAAGTAATTTGGTTTTTATATTTGTTTTAGGAATTCGTTTCTGATACAACAACTGCTTCATTACATAAATGCAGCTTCACTTATGATTGGGGTTTTTTATTTCAGCTTACATTCGTGAGTATATACTGTTACGAAAATAGGTTCTTACATTGCATTTTCCCCCCCTTTTTTTTGTGCTTCAGACCCACTGAGATGTTACAATTCATAGAACTATTGAAAGAATTTTTAGTGACTTCATCTCTGACTTCTACAATTTGATCTTATCCTGCACTGCTTTCACAATTGGGTTCTTCATTTAGCAATCAACTATACTTTATAATCCATACTTATAAACAATGAACATAATCTGGCAATCAGTCTGTAAACATCACTGCAAGAATTCATGCAATCTGGTAACAACTTCTTTTTTACTAAACCTGTAACATAAACAGAATCTTCCATGGCTGTTGTTGTGTTTATCCTCCTTCCTTGATTCACTTCATTATGTTTACGTGTTTGGGTTTTCCCCAGATTGACAAGAATGCACTGAAGTTCAAAACGAAACCGTTGGAGCATATGGAGCTAATGCGAAGGGTGTACGAAGGTGCAACTGCAACCGGGAAATTCGCATGGACACCAGGGGCAGCGTTCGAACCTGTGGCCACGGAGGACAATCCGTTGCTGGTAGACGAAGAAGACTGCGAAGACAGCAGTGGTTTGCCCCCTTTCCAGCCATCCGTGCAGCATGGACAAACTGTCCACCACAGTTCTGCGCAAGAGGAGGACATCCCGGTCAGTGTACATGCTGCGGCATCGGCAATTCACGCTGAGGACATCCCGGTCAGTGTACATGCTGCGGCATCGGCAATTCACGCTGAGGACATCCCGGTCAGTGTACATGCTGCGGCATCGGCAATTCACGCTGAGGACATCCCGGTCAGTGTACATGCTGCGGCATCGGCAATTCACGCTGAGGACATCCCGGTCAGTGTACATGCTGCGGCATCGGCAATTCACGCTGAGGACATCCCGGTCAGTGTACATGCTGCGGCATCGGCAATTCACGCTGAGGACATCCCGGTCAGTGTACATGCTGCGGCATCGGCAATTCACGCTGAGGACATCCCGGTCAGTGTACATGCTGCGGCATCGGCAATTCACGCTGAGGACATCCCGGTCAGTGTACATGCTGCGGCATCGGCAATTCACGCTGAGGACATCCCGGTCAGTGTACATGCTGCGGCATCGGCAATTCACGCTGAGGACATCCCGGTCAGTGTACATGCTGCGGCATCGGCAATTCACGCTGAGGACATCCCGGTCAGTGTACATGCTGCGGCATCGGCAATTCACGCTGAGGACATCCCGGTCAGTGTACATGCTGCGGCATCGGCAATTCACGCTGAGGACATCCCGGTCAGTGTACATGCTGCGGCATCGGCAATTCACGCTGAGGACATCCCGGTCAGTGTACATGCTGCGGCATCGGCAATTCACGCTGAGGACATCCCGGTCAGTGTACATGCTGCGGCATCGGCAATTCACGCTGAGGACATCCCGGTCAGTGTACATGCTGCGGCATCGGCAATTCACGCTGAGGACATCCCGGTCAGTGTACATGCTGCGGCATCGGCAATTCACGCTGAGGACATCCCGGTCAGTGTACATGCTGCGGCATCGCCAAATCACGCTGATGACACACCTACGAGTGGCCAGAGCAAACGCAAATTCTGTCGTACAACACACTCGCAGCGGAAAAAAGGGCAGAGTGTCGGCGCATCGCTCTTGGCGAGTAGCATGGAAAACCTTGCGTCTTCAGTTAAATTACAACAACGAGAAGTCCGCGTGCATCATGAATATGGAGATTCGGCCTCGGACTGCATTCGTAATTGTATGGCAAGGTTGTACTCCCTACAAGGCTTGGACCGGCAAGACCCACTAATCCTTTACGGTATGTCGCTAATGGACAATCCGGCAAATCAGGCAATACTGTTGTAGCTTCTGACGGACGCAGATGTCATTACTTGCCTGCGAATCAAGAAGTCCCACAGTATGGGTGGCCCATCAGCGCCAACTCACGGCCCCTGGTTTTGACGGCCTCAGTCACCGGAAATGGCTCATGTTTCATTAATACCCTGCATTTGTTCTTTTAATTGTTGCTACCTCCTATGTTTGTTTTATGTTTATTATTTCCCCTATGTTTGAGAGTGGCTGTCAGATTTTTTTTAAATTATGGAATCGGTGTGTGATGTGTTGGATGTTTAATTCGGACTTTGTATGCAGCAGGCATGTTATTTATAAATGTGTTGGATGTTTTCTTTTCGTTCCCTTATAAATGTGTTTCGATTCTTAGGTTTTAAGGGATGCTAACAAAGCAGCTTACTGAATAGTGATGACCCACCTTTTATGAGTGTGTTGTATATCTGTGGTCTATGGCTATTCAGACCATTCATAGTGATGACCCACCTTTTATTAATAGTGATGACCCACCATTCATGAGCATAGCAGCTGAACGAACATGGCTATTCAGAGCTGTAAATGAGGATTCTAACTTCATGTTTACGAGATGTCATTTGCACCAACTCGTCAAGACTATTGATCTTACAAGACTTTACAGATTGACAACACAGAGCATTGGGGAAATTTTCCGGTGGTGCTCTCAGAAGGAAAAAGTGTTAAATTAATTTAAAATTAATAAAATATAATTTAAAGTAATAAATTTTTTTTATTTAAGTGTCAACCAAATGTCAAAAAATAATATAAAATCGATGTATGAAAAAAATATTTTACATCCATTTATACCATCAATCACATCCAAATAATATTGCGAAGTTTTTCTTCAAGTCTTCTCAAGTCCATACATTCAAGTCTTCGTCAACTCCATACAGCTGTTTATTCAATTCGTTCACACATAAGGAAATAAAAATTAAAAAAAAAGATTTTTCATGAATAAAAGAAAATATTAATTGACCAGATTTTTTATACAATCACCCCCCCAAATCACATCCAAATAGTATTGCGGAGTTTTTCTTCAAGTCTTCGTCAAGTCCATACGTTCACACATAAGGAAATAAATAAATAAATAAAAGATTATTATAAACTATGATCAAAATATCAGTTACATTTTTATAAACTATGATCAAAATATTAGCTGTCTTTTTAAATAATCACACTAGTAATTTTGTATAATTCTCTACCATTTTTCTATTTTTATTTTTTTAATAAATAAAATTTTTCTAAACTGACTCCAAGCAGCTCGCCAGACTTGACTTCTTTTCCCCCATTTGCTTCTTCCTTTTTTTTTTTTTTTTCAATTGTTTTATACTAAACTTTTCTGGTTCCTTGACTTTTCGTTTAGTTACTTCCTTCACCATGCTCAGGAAGGATGTATTTTCCTTCTCATCTACTAGACTACCTAGAAGATCCCTTCCTCTTTATTATTATTATTAATATGTGGGATAAATTACACAATTGATTCCTATAATTTTTCACTTTAGATTTCGTAGCAATAATTTTATCAATTTTGTCCATGTACTTTCATTTTGGTTCCAATGCACTCCATCTATCATTATCGGTTAATATTCAAATGAAAAAAAAAGAAGGGACATTAGCGAAATTAGTGGGACAAAATAAAATTTTGTTAAGATTTATATATTTTTCTTTGTAGTCTGTAAAAAATTAAATGACAATCAGAAATGAAAGAAATATTTGTAAAAACGTGATTCTTAAAAAATTAAAATATTCACACACAAAAAAGCAAAATGTACTAGTAATTTTGGTTTTATTTTTTTTTTTTTTGTATTAGTATTAGTTAATTTTTTCTAGCAAAATTGACAAAGATTATATTTTCAATGTGTATATTAGCTGTGTTCACAAATAATTTAAAAAATTGTAACAAAGATGATAATAATGGATGTAAAGTTTTTAAAATATACATACATTTTCGGACAATAATGGAACTGACAGAGGGAGGCGTAGGCAGATGGACTGGTGCTATGGTTTGTACCTAAATATTTGCCCAAAGATTGTTGTGAACTTCCTTCAATATTGTCCATTTGTGAGTCTTGATAGATGCTACAATTGTAGACCATAGGTTTTGCATGGCAGGTTGTCTTTTGTGAGTCTTCATAGATGCTACAATTGTAGACCATAGGTTTTTCATGGCAGGTTGTCCATTTGTGAGTCTTGATAGATGTCACGTGAACACTGTTGCACTCATGGGAATCTTGACGTATAAAAATTACATTTTCAGTCAATATGTGCGTACCCTGTATGTGATGGATAGCTTTTGTTATTTTACATTATTAAAATGTCCAGTTTATTATCATGGCATAAATTAATATGAAAAATACGTTTTTTTTTTTAATTTATTAGACAAGTTGTCTAATAATTAGCATGGCTGCACAAAATATTAATTTGTGGACATTATTAAAATGTTTTATGGTTCTCACAAAAAAGTAAATCAAACGTGATGGCACCCTTGACAACAATGTCATGGACCTACATACAAAAGCTACGCATTTGTGTAAACATGGCCCCCACAACCTTGGCCATTATATTCTTCCCCTCTTGTCTATTTTATTTCTTCAAGAGTTCACAGTGTGGTTTTCTCTCTGTCCCTCTCTCACCATCAACTTGAATTATTTTATTTGCTTGGAAGTGTTTGAAGTTGTTCACATTTTTCGCCAAACTCAAAGAACAAATGGCAAATGACGCAGGTCCGAGTCACCGCGTTGCACTTTCCATTCCCGCCCGGGAAGCTATCGATGAAATTGCGAGGGAAATGGTGATCGAAACTGATCACAACTTGGTAGAAGCGTATAACAGTGTGGCAAGATATTATTACAACAATTATTACAGAGTCCCTCGAAATACGTCAATACTTTCGGGACGTTTATGGGTGTTTGAGTTGTTTAACGGCCACCAGGGCCGGTTTGAAGATAATGTCAGTATGTCACAACCAGTGTTCTTGTTGTTATGCGATGCGCTTCACAGTTTTGGATTGACGTTGCCGGAGCGCGAGCATGGTGTTTCGCTGGAAGAGAAGGTAGCCATTTTTATTTGTGCGTTGCAGGGTCTATCTTGGAAACATTTGCAAGAACGGTTCCAACACTCAAAGGAGACATTGTCACGCAATTTTCATGAGGTAATGCAAGTTATGATACCGTTTACATCAGTTCATAGTAGGAGTCTTACGCCTGAACAAGTACAACAAGGGGGCCATCCACATTTACGATCACAGCAGCAGTACTGGCCATTCAAGGTGACAATTTCCATAAACATGCAAAATTTTTTAACGCTTACAAAAAAACCAGGATGAGGCCAAAATAAAATAGGCTATCAATCACCATCGGCCCAATGGGTGGTATGTGTGTCAAACAAAATTAAAAAACAAAATTGTAACATCATACCAATAAACAGTAGCAAAATAATTTATTCAAAAAGAATTGAAGTCAGCCTGTATACTTGATTTTAAGATAAATTATATTCACATCTGTAAAATAATGAACAAAATTACCGTTAAACGTGTCAATTCTAAATAAATTTTTTTTTCTTCACAGTAGTTGTAATTTTGATGGTACTAATAGCTGATGAAATTATTATATTATGGTTACATAGTTTACATTTCAAACTTTGTTTAACAATAGTTACAAATTAGGACTGCATCGGTGCATTGGACGGGACGCACGTGATGGCTCGTGTCTCACAGGAGTACGCCACATCATACTATGGCCGGAAAGGCGTGCCGACACAGAATATAATTGCTGTATGTGACTTTAATTTGTGCTTCACATTTGTCTCTGCCGGTTGGGATGGGAGCATGCACGACAGCCGGGTTTTGCACTACGTGACAACCGAAGAGAAACATCGCTTCCCGCACCCCGCACCAGGTACAAAATATTAAACCGAAATATGAATACGTAGAAACTATAAATATTAAAAATTTCCCAAAATGTAGTTTATTTCCCAAAATTCAAAATTTTGGAAAACAACTTAAAAAACATGAAACAAATGAAAATGAAAATTTTTCAAAAACAATGAAGTGGTATATAAGAATGTGAAAATGAAAAAGAGATGTTATAATTTATTGTTTACAATTTTTTGCAAAAGTACTCTTTCATAGAAATGTTGTTAATGAATTAGAAAGTAATTAGAAAAATGTTTGTGTAATTAGAATTATAATTGTTCACAACAAAAGAACTTCACAATGAAATTATAATTGAAAACAAAATTGGGATAAAAACAATTTTTATTAATGAAAATGTAATTGTCCAAAAAAAAAAATTATTATAATTCACAAACAATGCTGTAATTGGGACTATAATTTTTTAGAACAAAAGGAATTGGGAGAAGGAGTAATTGAAAACAAAATTGGGAAAAAATTAATTTACAAATGGAGAAATTATTCAACAAAAGAATTAATTATTAAAAAAAAAAACATTACGAACCAATGCAAGTTAATTGAAGAATAATTTAAGTGGTACAGAATACAGTCATATCGAAAATGAAATGAAACAAATTTTGTAGGAAAATACTATTTGGTGGATAGCGGTTACAGCAACAAGACAGGGTACCTAGCCCCCTACAAGGGGTATAGGTATCACCAAAATGCCCATCGAAATCGAACACCGCAGAATCAGTTCGAAATGTTCAACAAGGCACATTCGTCACTGCGTAGTTGTATTGAGCGGACATTCGGTGCCTGGAAGTCTAGGTGGGGGGCATTGCGGAATATGCAGAAGTTAAGTTTTTCTAATCAAGTTACGTTTGTATGTGCATCGATGGCGTTACATAACTTCATACGCCGACATAGCGAACTTGATGAGGTCATGATGGGTATCCCAGACCGTGACGATTACATGGCCCCCCAAATGCCCGACCACGACGAATACACACGGGTTACTGATGTGATGGAGGAAGAGGACTCGGACCCTGCAATGGCCGCTGTAAGGGTGAACATTACTAACGCACTGGTACGGCAAGCACACCGGTAGGAGCGAATTGGAAATACAAGAATATCGTATGAAGGTTTTTGCAGTATCTTTTATAATAATTTGTTCTCAACTTGCCTATGCCAAAAAATAATTTCTAGCCATTTGTCAGAAAACAAAGAAAACATAAAAAAAAGAAAAGGAAATTTGCATGACTGGGCATGTACGTGGTTTATCTTTTTTTATTCACATGTTATGATATGAATTCCCGAAAATACAGAGCAGACCTGTTCCACTCGTTTCCAATTTTCGGACAATAATGGAACAATTGCAACCTCTGCTTGAATAAAAAAATTTAATAATGAATACAAAGAGGAAAACAACGAAAAAAGAAAAATTTCACGACAAATGAAAAGAATACCAAAAAATGACAAAAAAAATGAAAACAATAAACCAAAATGTTGAAAGGAAAATAAAAAAAGGAAAAGAATAATGCTAAAAGAGTAAAAATAAAAATGAAAATGTTGAAAGGAAAATAAAAAAGGAAAAGAATAAAAAAAATTATTGACTAAAAAAGGAAAATAAAAAAACCAAAATTAAAATGAATAGAATGAAAAAAAAATGAATAAAACAACGAAAAGAAAAAAAAATTAATAATGTTAAAAGGAAAAGAATAAAAATTTTAATAATGTTAAAAGGAAAAGAATAAAAAAAGAATAATGTTAAAATGAGAAGAATACTGACAGAAATCCCAAAAAAATTATGTTAAAAGGAAAAGAATGGAAACAAAAAAAAATAATACAAAAAATAATAAAAATCTTTAAAAAAGGAAAAAATATTTGTTTTCGTGCTTGTGAAAACAAATAATAATGGTATTAAAAAAATAAATTCTTTCAAAAAGAAAAATAAAAAAACAAAAATGTTGCAAGGAAAAAAAAAATGACTATAAAAGAAAAACAAAATTAAAAGGAAAAGAATGAACATAAACAAGGCATGCAAACCGTTGCACAGTGATTGTTTTTGCTGAATAAAAACGTTTGAACTAAAGTACCGTTGCACTTGACAGCCACGAATCACAAGTACGCGACACGTGCTTCTGTTTATGTGTCAGATGGGAAGGGTAAAAGAGACATTTTACCATGTGTAATAATATTATATTGCACACATTTTCATGAAAAGTCAAAAAGTTAACCCAAACTTCCATATTTTTTTTCTCACTTTTTTAGTCTAAAAAGACAAAAAGTACACTTTTTTAGGACACCCCAAACCAAGCCTTAATCTATTATCTTCATGATTATGAGATTGAGATTGATGTGATCGATCATCAAATAAAAGATTATCGAGGTTAGTAGGTTCATCAGATTCATGTTCAGATTCATTATTGGTTTGGAAAATATCTAAATTTTTATTAAGTTTTAATGTAATAATTTCATCTTCTAAATATTTATCTTTATTTTGTAAATTTTTAATGGTTTGTTTAATTTGATTAATTTCTTATTGTAAATCTTGTAAGGTAACTTCTTTGTGTTTATTTTTAAATCTTTCTAAGGTTTTAGATAGACTAATAATGGGCTTATCAAACTTAGGTTTATGATTAGTATTGATTAACAAAGATTTTAATTTATCAGTATATTTCTTTTTTAATTCAGAATCTTCAAGTCTACTAATTAGTTCAATAAGAGCAGTTTCATCTTGATTTTATTTAGTAAGAACAGTAATTTGTTTAATAGGTTTACAACAAACATCATTACAACCTAATTCTATATTATTATCAGAATCTTCACTAGGTGAATTGTAATTAGATGAAGTATTAGGATTATCAGAAGAGGAATTACTAACAGATTGATTTAATTGAAAGATTTCAAATAATTGATTTTTTGATTCATCATTAATTTGAAGTTGATTAACTTTATCTTTTAATTTTTGTTTTTTTTTACATTTATTAGAATAATGACCTTTTTGACCACAGTTGTAACAAGTAATATCTTTATTAGATTTAGCTTTTGGATGCGATTTCTTGTAATATTTCCTTTTAGGTTTAGTATAGAATTTATCATTTGATTTAGAAGATGAATAATTCTTTTTATACTTGTTTGAATATTTGTAATGGGATTTACTATGTTTTTCATGTATTTTCCTACGGGAAGGTGCGACAAGAGGTAAACCATATTGTTCACAAAAATTACCTAATTCATATTTAGCCTTATGTTTATCTTTAGTAGCTTTTTGACTGAGTTTAAGATCAATGCACATTCTTAATCCTTCTTTTTGAATAGTGCTAATGATATCACCATAAGTTAAATTGTCATATTCAATGGTACCAGTAGGTTGACTAAGAACATCTCTAATTTTGTGAGCAAATAAACTAGGTAATCCGTTAATAAATTTTTCTTTCCAAAAAGATTTAGTACAATCTTCTCTTAACATAACTCTAGAAGTGAATACATCTTTATACCATCTAAAATCACTTAATTTTGGACAAGTAAGGTTACTAAGTTGATCATGTATGCGGAAATATATATTAGTAGGAGTACTTATGAAATGTCTAACTATGGTATAGATGAATGTGTTAACACCATCAGGTTTATAGTAACCAATAGTTTCATCAAAGATAGGTAAATTATTTTCATCTTTTTGATTAGCATGTAAAATAGATTCTCTTTGATCTTCAGTTAAGTATTTTTTCCACCAAGATTTGAGCATACCAGTAAAACTAGAAGTGATTAAAGAAGCAATTTTAGGTTGAGTGTAGTCAGGGTAATTACTAAAATAACTATTTGCAACCATAGATAAATGATTTAATTTTTGAAGTATTTGATCTTCACTAAGACCATCAATATTCCATTTGTACAACTTTTTAATAGATACAGAAAATTGTTTATTAAGATTAGTTTCTTCATATGGGAGATCAGGAGGAGTAGGTCTAGAATACCAGTTTTTAGTAAGAGATGTAGGATTAGGCTTCGGATAATGAATTTTATTCAGATTAGAGGATTGAAATTGTTGAGCTAATTGATTAATTTCATCATCAGTTGTATCAGTTTCAGATTGATGAGAAACAGTATCGATACTAGGTTGTCGATTTAATACAGTAAGACCTTTTTTAGTAGAAGGAGAGGCTTTCTCAAAAGTAGTTAATTTGGTAAGTAATTGTTCTATGGCTTTAACAGTAGCATTATCTTGGGTAACTAAACTATTTCATTTGGAACAATTATTAGGTAGATTAAGCAAAGGTTGATCTAAGGATTGTTTAGTAGATGTATTGTTAGCCGAATAATCATCTAAATTGGTTTCTATTTTATCTAATTGTTTACCAATTGTTTTTAAACATTGATTAATATAATTATTTTGTTCAATAACTTTTCTAATTTCAGGGTCAGTGCTAGTAGCTTAAAAGGTGCGGCTGGGACATCAGATCCTTGGTGTTCAATAATTATATTAGCTAATGGAGGATGACTAAAACTAACAGAAGTATTTGGAGAAGTTTTCTATTTATGTTTTGTGATTGTATTAACTTTTTTGTAATAGTTGTCTAAATATTTAAAGAAAGGAATTTCCATACTATATTCAATCATAAAATCATACTATTTTCTAGTAAGTTTAGATTGTTGCGTAGAATCATATTTAGCACGATAAGCATGTCTTTTAGTCCTATTTTCTTTAAATTTAAATTCAGCATGTAATTTATCAAGATTATGAGCAAAAGATTTACTAATTGTCATTAATTGAGGATTGATTGGAGGTATTACTTCGAAATCAGTTTGAGTAGGAGAATTATTTGATTCAGTATCTTTTTCAGGTAAATGTGTGTGAGTAGAGTAAACAGGTTTACTAATTTGAGAAGTGGTAGAGTTATCAATGTCTTTTAATTTACTATGGGAGGGTTGACCAAGATTGATTTGACTATTTTTTCGGAATAAATGAGCATTAAATATTTCATCTTCAGTTTCAATATCAGTAGGTATACTCGAAGTACTGTGTCTAGAAGATTGACTACGATTAAATTTAATACGGACTGAACCGTCAGTAAATTGTTAAATATCTTGGATATCTTGACTAGTGGATTATTGTTGATTATGTTTGTAATTTTCAATGACAGTAATCCATTGACCAGGGAGAGTAATATCTTTTCATTCTATCATTTGAGGGATATTTATATTAGTATTATTGTTACTAGTTTGAATCAGTAATGTTTTATCCTTAGGACTTTTATGTAAAGCTTGAACATTTAAATTGGTTTTAATACATTTATAATGGACACGATAAATTAAAACAATATTATGAAGTTTTTTTGTCATATTAGTAAATGAACCATTTAATTGAATATTTAAAGTTAATGCATCTAATATGTGTAGATCTCTAAGACTGAGTGTGAAATCAAGAAAACAATTAAAATGAATACGTCCTTTGTAAAGACCAGTTTCCACAATACTCATTAAACTATCATTATAATCAATAAAACGAGCATCTCTTAAACATAATAAAACAGAAGTATTTTTACCTTGTGAAGTTAATGGTTTGATTCCAACTTGAATTAATCCTAAATGAATAAAATTGTGACCAGTTTTTAAAAGACGTTTAATAGTGTTAGCATCAAATAAGTGACAGGTTTCTCTAAGTTTTTCTAAAGCATAAACTTATTCTAATGTTTTAATATGCAGATTAACATTAAAAGCAGATTGTAAAAACGTAGTTTTATAAATCTCTTTAACTGATAATTTTGGTATATTCCAACTTAAATCTAGTTTATCATTTTGTATTTCTAATTCTTCTTCATTAATTACTAATCCTTGATTAGGTATTGAGGGCAAAGTTGTTGACTTAGAACTGACTGAAGAGTTATTTCTAAATAATCGACTCATTTTTCTTTAATTAAACTGTTTTACAGGAATCTTAATACATTGTCTAAATTTATCATATTTTCACATACTAGGCTTTCACATATACCCATTTCGGAGGTCCCTTAAAATCCAACACTGCCTAACCAAAGGACATGACCAAGGACAGGGACGAAGAGCATTTCCAATGTTGAATAAAAAATTTCATTGAATGTAAGTAAAACTTTGAGAATAAGTTTAATTTGATACCGTTCATTTCAACGTTAAATTAGAATTTTCATCAAATTTGATAAAAAGTTTGATTTGATATCGTTCACTCCAACGTTGAATTATAATTTTCATCAAATTTTTTCACATGGAGAATGTTCGAGCGGATATTCTGGAAGTCGTTCGGACATGAACAAAAAAGCTGTCAAATTGCTCTTAGGTGGACATTCGAGAGGATGTTCAACGATAATAATTTAAATTTGATAAAGAATCAATCTTCTCTCTATTTGATGAAGTATATTTCCTTTTTCTATTTGATATCACTTTGATGTTAAGATTGAAGATCACTTTTTAAGTTTTCTCCATTAAATTTAAATTTAATAAAAAAATTGATTAAATTTTGCGTTCAAAAAAAAAAAAAAGGTGAAAAAACTCTTCCGGAACATAGCATTCGCCTACAGTCTACAGACATATTTTCATCCGTCCGATCCATGAAGCGGGTCCATCGGAAGGCTGGTTTTGCGTCAGGTTTGATACGATAGAGAAAGGATAGCTGTCCTCTTCGCGCCTCGTCCTCGGCGGCGTCCTCGTCTCTCTCTCTCCTCAAGTCTCAACGGCTCAATTCGTGAGGAACACGAACATAGGTAACTCTCTCTCTCTCTCCCGCACAGAAATAGATATAAACCCTACCCTAACTGTACTGGTTTAATTTATCAATGTTGTTTTTATTGTAAAAATTTTGAGTTCATGTTTCTTTATCCGTTGCCATTTTACTCCAATATGTATGTGTATCAGTACATGTATGTATAGTGTGCTATATACTTTGCGTCCACTGGTAACTGCAATATATGTACCCATATATTGTGTTAGCTAGTATATGTGTATATATAGGCTGTCTATTGATGATAAACCCATAAAAATTTATATTCAAATATGTACTCCTGATGAATGGAACTTATTCAAGTTTAGAAAAATTACTATATGTACTATAGTTTTTATAAATACCCTTTAATTAGGTTGACACTGGGACTGTAAGTAAAAAAAGCTTTGATAGGAAAAACTCTAATGGACAAACAAACCCATATTTATAGCATAAATTTGAGTAAAATCTGGCAAACTAGTAAATTTGGGGGCCATAAAATAGTCTTGAAAATTTGGGTAAACATTTTAGTCTCCCTTAATTTGACTAAAATATACGAGTGAAGCTCATTTTCATATGGGTTTTGAGTAAAGGAGTGGAGGGGGTTTTGGGGTTTATTACTCAAATTTAAATTTGATATGGGTAAAGTGTAAGGTCTAGAGATTCGCTAATCCATCCTTCATCCGCGTTACATTTACTATAATGGTGCAACAATTTTTTTGTAATTTGAATTGTTTCATCAGACAAGTACACTTTTGGTGGAGTGCATATTTCTAGAAAAATACTTTTTTGTAATTAGTTTTCTGAAAGAAAAAAAAAAAATGCACAGTTTTGTACTTGGATTGATGGAGTGCATATTTCTGCAATAAATTATCAAAATTAAAAACCAAATTTTGTCAAATTGAGTTTGAAACTTGTTGACAAATCCAGTGCAGGAATGTGATATAGTGCCAGGAATAACAAAGAAACATGGACGAGGAGCAGTCCAATGAAACTAGAGAACTAGTGGATTCTTATGTGTCTATGGAAGACGAAGGTGATGAATGTGTTGTCGTAGAAGATGTTGAAGCTCACATGGTTTTGGATGATGCAAAGAGTGTAGATTCCTTGAATCTTGAATATTCTAACTATCCGGCTGGTGCAATTGTAGAACCAACATTGGACATGGAGTTTGTGTCTGAGGAGGACTCGAGGAACTTTTACAATGCCTATGCTAAGCAAACGGGGTTTAGTATACGTGTGAACTCATATTACCGTTCAAAGAAAGATAACTCAATAATTTCTCGAGAGTTTTGTTGTTCTAAAGAGGGTTTCCGCAGAGACAAACGCGGGAAAAAGATGGATTCGGGAGAAGATTGTAAGAGGAGGTGTGCCCGGCCAATCACTAGGGACGGTTGCAAGGCACTGATGACTGTAAGGAAACGAGACAATGGAAAGTGGTATGTAGCAAAATTAGAGAAGAATCATAATCACAAGCTTGTCACTCTGGGTATGCGGCATTTTCTTCGATCTCATCAGCATACAGGAATTCAATCCAAAGAAAAGTTCAATGAACTCGTTCAACCTTCCTGTGTTCAGCACAAGTACTTCCCCAAATGTTCTATCTGAAGATTGTGATAGGTTTGGCACGATTGTATTTGCACCACAAAATCATGTCAATTATGTTGGTAGAGGAAGGCTAAGTACCTTTGGTATAGACGCTCAAAGTCTTCTCGGGTTTTTCAAGATTATGCAAGCAAGTGATTCTGCATTCTATTATGCAATTCAGGTTGACGAAGAAGACAGGCTAAGCAGTGTGTTTTGGGTTGATACAAGGTCAAGGATTGCTTACAACTGTTTTTCTGATGTGGTAGCCTTTGATTCAACTTACAAAGTAAATCAGTATAAAATGCCATTTGCACTGTTTACTGGAGTGAATCATCATAAACAGTCTGTGTTGTTTGGATGTGCATTGCTTGCAGACGAGACAGAATCGACATTCATTTGGCTATTCACAACTTGGCTCGAAGCGATGTCTGGAAGGCAGCCAAACTTAATTATAACTGATTATGATTCCGCCATAAGCAAAGCAGTAGAAAGAGTTTTCCCGGAATCAGGCCTTCGGTATTGCAAGTGGCACATCATGAGCAAAATGCCAAAGGAAATGGGACATGCATATAGTGCACTTCCAAAGACATTTCAAGTGGAATTTGATAAATGCATTAATAAAAGTGAGACACCTGAAGAATTTGAATCTTCGTGGGAGTCGCTTCTTGATAGGTACAATCTTAGAGGAAATGAATGGCTTCAATCACTTCACATTGATCGCAAGCTTTGGGTCCCAATATATGTAAGAAACACATTCTTTGCAGGAATGTATGCTACTCAACGAAGTGGAAGTGTGAACTCACTTTTTGATGGATACGTAAATGCAAGAACTACCTTGCAAGATTTTGCAGAGCAATATGAGAAGGCTTTGGATGATCGATATGAAAAGGAAGCAAAGGCTGAGTTTGAAACATTTTACACGAAACCAATCCTAAAGACACCACTACCTATAGAAAAACAGGCGGCGGAAATCTACACAAGGAAAATGTTCACTACATTCCAGGACGAAATTTTTGAATCACTTGTTTTTGTGGTGAAATTAAGTAGAAACAATGGATCAACTTCCACATACGAGGTAGCAAGATTTGATGAGGAACATAAAGTGTTTTCCGTTGATTTTGATCTATTTGAGCAAAAAGTTACTTGTAGTTGCCTGATGTTTGAGTTTGAAGGAATATTATGTAGACACGTGCTTGCAGTATTCAAAGCCACAAGCGTCTTTATGCTTCCACCACACTATATGATGACTCGATGGACAAAAAATGCCAAGGATGAGGCAATGTTGGATGTAATACCCTCTGTTGAGACGCACGGAAATGCTCAAATAGGCAAGAATTCACAATACAATGTTTTATATCAGGAAGCGATTAACTGTGTGGAGGAAGGGATGGCATCAGAGTATAGTTTTAAGGTGGCTTTAAGTGCCTTAAGAGAGGCTAGGATCAAAATTCTTGGTGCAAAGAAAATTGCTGTAAATGCCCTGAAACTTGAAACCACGGTCAGCACATGCTATCAGGATGAGAACAAGCAGCCTGGAAGTCAAGTAGACAGTCCATCAGTTTTAGTAACTCCTCTTGATAGACAACTAAAGCCAGAGAATCTTCTGTAGCAAGTAAAATACCAACATATATAACAGAGCCACCATCGAGCCTAAAATTAGGCTGTGCATGAGATGCAAGTGCCCAGGGCATCATCGCAGTACTTGCTTGTGGTTGAAGGATTCAGGTCCAGCCAAATATTAATGATGGTGAGTTTATATTATTCAAATTCGCATACCTGTCTATCGGCATTATCTGTTAATACCTATTCATAGTCAATTTTCTTTTGTAGGACCTTCAAAGATTCAAAATAAAAAACTTTGCCTACTCAGCAAGTCCATGTGTGGCAGAAGACGGCATTTCTAACTGACGGGTCCCTCTAATTTTGATGCATGTTGACCATTTTACCATCTTTGTTTTCATATATTTTTATGAAGGTAAAAAGGTTCTTTGTGATACGAGTTTAACGGTGGTGGTCTTAAGTTTGGTATCGCTGTTGAGAGTTGTTTCTTTGAAGGGATTTGACATTTCCAATGTTAAATTAGTACTTTTATATTAAATAGAAGAAGGATTAATAGTGTGGTCTGTATGCTTCCAAGCTTGAATTTTTGAAGTTTTGTTTCTTTCTAGGATGTTTCAGCTATTGGATGTTTTATATTAGGAATAGATGATTTTGACACGAATGATCCTTAACCTCCACCACCTTGAACCACCACCACCCACCCTCAATGCCATATACCCCCCTCTCTGCCATACAATCAACCCCAACACATGGAGGCTCCGTTTGTTTTGGGAGATAGAGGTGAAATTGGGATTGAGATTGGGATTGAAATGGATGTGGGACCACTGTATGTTATATTTGTTTTGGGAGATAGAGAAGGGATTCACCCATGAGATTAGGATGGGCCTTGCTGTTGGGATTGAGATGGAGGAGACAGAGGTGGTATTATGAAATTAGTCCCATGGCCCCGTTTGTTTGGAGAGTTAGAGGAGGGATTGAGATTGGTAGTGAGGTGAGATTCACTAATATTGTGTTTGTTTTGAGAGATGTGGAGGAGATTGATAGTGAGCTCCGGATTCGGATGGGCCTTCCCAAGGGGATTCGAATGGGCCTCCAAGACTTGGTATTAGAAAAATAGTCCGCCGGACTAGAAATTTTTTTTTTTCATTTTATTTTTATTTTATTTTTTACATGTTAGGCATTTTTTTTTAACATTAATGTTTAATTTCTTTGTATTTTTTGTTAAATAAAAATCATTATTTTATTCTTTTTATTTTTTTCTGGAAATTTTTTATTTATTTTAAATTTTTTACATATTGGGCATTTTTTTTAAAACATTAATGTTGAATGTCTTTGTATTTTTTTTATTTGTTTTATTGTTTTATATATTTTTTTATATAAAAATAATTTAACAATCCTTATAGTAACAACTATTATCAAAACAAACACAATTTTAAACCTGTGTTTGGCAAGTGGGTTTGCAGGCTTTTTTTGCTATTTTAGCCACAAAAAACAAAATAGGCTATTTTAGCCATAACAAACAAAATATCACATTCAACCTATAATCATTACATTCTTCTCTCACAAAAAAACTCATAAAAGTCAAAAAGTCAAAAAGTCCTTCCCAAACCAAGTTTTTAAGCCCAGGCTAAAATAGCTAAAAAAACCAAATAGCCAAAAAGCCAACCCACTTCCCAAACGGAGGCTTAATCCTATCACTATCAATCCCTTCACTATTAATCCCATCACTATGAAACAAAATGGGATTAGGTTTTTATTTTAGTTTTTTTATTATATGTTGGGCATTTTTTTTAACATTAATGTTTAACCTTTTTGTATTTTTTGTTAGGTAAAAATCATAATTTTATTTGGTTTAATATTTTATATTTTTTTTATAGGATAATAATTTAATAATTCTCACACTAACAATTACCATTAAAACAAGTACAATTTTACTTAATTCTCTCACTGTCCTCACTAACAATCTTTTTACTATTTATTCCTTCATTATCAATCTCTTCCATTCTACCACTGAAAACAAACTGGGCCAAAGGTTGACCTTCTTCACCCCTTGCAACCCACTACCATCTCACAACCCATTGCCACCTCCTCCACCACTGAACCAAAGCAACTGCCAGTGACTCAAATTACCGCACCACCACAAATATAGTCTTTGGATTTATTTTTTTATTTTTTTCATGTAATCAAATTTGGAGAGAGAGAGAGAGAGAGAGAGAGAGAGAGGGAGGAGGGAAGGGAACTGATTAATCTTTAAACTAGAGTATAGTATCTTTCAAGACCAATGGTTGGTAGACATGATCTCTTACTAGGCGAGATGCCTGAATTTGAGCCTTAACAATTTTTTGGTATTATCAATAACAAAAAATTAATGAAGAGATAATCTGATATAGGAAATCAAAGCACATGGGCAATGTAATTTACATTTTTTATTTCTTTCAAAAAATAAGTTATATATATATATATAGATATATTTACACAAAGGAATTTAAAACCCAAACAAAGGTCTGTATTATTTGTTGCTCAATAAATGCATTCACACCATGCAAGTGCAAGAAAGTGCAAGCTTTTAGGTGAGTAGTAGGTATTTAACTCACCTTTTTAACAAGTAATGAGTTTAATTCTTGTAATTGCCTTTTTTTGGATTTGGAAGTTTTTATTTAATTATAAAAATGATTTATCAACTTTATTATTGAAATACTTGGATTATCTCTTAATTGGTTGGATGGTCCAATTAGAGTGGAATCTTGTGTTGAAATACACAACTCATTTGACATATTTTAAATCAGATCATTCATGAATAAACTATAGAGAAATTTCACCGTTAAAAGAAATGATTTATTTACTCTTTTGCTTTTGCTAATGGTAAAATTATTAAATAATATTTAATGTATTAATTAGTATATTAATTAGTGTACTAACTGATGCAACATAATTTTAAAGGTTTTAAACATTTATAATTTGTATAATGAGTGAGTCATAATTTTAAAATAATAATGTCATAACATATGTTAGTATACTAATTGGTGTAGCAATTGCTACATGTACATGCATACAAAATGTATTAATTCATGTTTTATAATGAAAAAAATTAAAAAATATATATATATATATATAAACACATTTGGCTACAAAAGGAGAATACATTTTTCATAAATAGTAGGGCGACCATGTATGCATATTCAACAGTCGAGTGGTCTATCTTTGCTTCCATGCAAAGCTTCCTCCTAAAAGATAGCCGAAAGTCATAAACCTATCAACGAGAGAGACAGAGAGATAGAAAATAGGAGACCTGACCTGTTTGGAAAGCTGGTTTAGAGAGAGAAAACACAATTTACAGCCGTCAAACAACCAATCTCTTCAGTGAAGAGAGTCCATTTTCGGTAGGGTTTTTGGGCACCAGACCTTCTAAATCTTGGGTTTTCTGATCTGGGTCTTCATTCATTCCCTTGTTTCCCTGCCATTTATATGCTTTCCTTCGAATGTGATACAGAGATCCATAATTTTCCGGAAAATTTAGGTTTTGTTTTGGTCTTCCGGACCTGTTCGATCGATCCGATCTGGGTTTCTTGTTTTTGCCTCATTGTATTTTTGCTTTCTTGATCAATTGATGGAGGAAGAAGATCAAGGACAGAAGAAGTTTGTATGCAAGGTTTGTAGCAAGAGTTTCTTCAGTGGGAGGTCCTTGGGAGGCCATATGAGGTGTCATTTAGTCACAAATTCAGCTAAAAAACATGAAGATCATCACAATGGTACTACTACCACCATGGATTTGGAAGGTGGTGATGATGATTGTTACGGGCTTAGAGAGAACCCTAAGAAATCTTGGAGGGTTTCAGATGAAAAACAGAGTATTACTGCAATTCAAGAAAACCATTGCAAACAATGTGGCAAAGAGTTTCCCTCAGTGAGAGCTCTGTCTGGTCACATGAGATGTCACTCAATTAAATCAAGAATTGAAAATGTTTGCAAACAATGTGGCAAAGGTTTCTCTTCGATGAAAGCTCTGTTTGGTCATATGAGACATCACTCCAAAAGATCAAGGGTCGAGAGCCAATCAGACCATCAATCAACCTTGAGGTACAAGATTAATGGGAATCTTCATTTGCCTAATTTGAATGCATCTTGTTCATATGTTTCTGAGATTGATGAAGTAGAAGAGGCTGCTATGTGTTTGATGATGTTGTCTCGGGATGTGAGAAACCGGGTTGAGTTTGATTCGGTCATGGAGGCCTCCGAGAATTTCGCTGTACCGTTTGAAGCTAAAGCATTGCATCAAAGTAAGGATGATGATGACACTCGGAAGATCAAGAAACCGAGAAAGAAATTGGATTCTTGTTTATCATGTTCTGGGAATTCTTTGTTTGAAAAGAATGAATCTGAATTTGGTGATTTGGATTCTGGGTTTATGAGCAAAAATGAAAAGAACTTTGAATTGGGACTTTCCATTGAAGGGTTTCACAAGGGCGATGAATCAAAGAATACTGAAGCAAATTCCAAGATTGAATGCTGCAATGAGAATTCAGTTGAGCAAATCCAAACCTTGAAGAACAAGGACTACGATTGCCCAATCTGCTTCAAGGTTTTTCCATCAGGCCAAGCAATGGGAGGTCACAAAAGGGCTCACTACATTGGAATACTCTCTGAAAACAAAAACAAAGAGAGTGTGTTAGCAAAGCAAGAGTTTCCTAATATTCAAAATGTGTTTGATCTTAACCTCCAAGTTACTCTTGAAAATGAGATCAACGATGATGATGGTGTTGCATTCAAGCCATGGTGGGTTGGAAGTGATCACGAGCCCGAGCCGCTGGTGATCTCGAATTGAGCAAACTGATTCCCTCCTTGGTTACCATGAAATTTTGGGGTGTACAGACAACTAGTTGGAGGATATTACAGGTTTTAGGATGATTGTTGAGCTACAAACGTGGAACCCAAACACATAAATGAATAGTGAATACATATGAATAGATAAATTTTTTCTGAATTTGTTGGTGGAGTCCACTTTAGAAAAATCTTGTCTATTCATATAATAGAATGTGTCCGGAGTATTTGTAGGCTTATTCATAAGATGACCTACTTAGACGTAAATTTTCTTTCCCTTTTGTACTCGTACCTTGTAAGTAGCAACTACTCCCATTCCATCTTGTGTGTGTGTTCCCCCCCCATAGATTATAGCAAGATATGGGGGATATATTTATACCATATGATCTTCAATCTTGATTTTGCTAAGCTAGGTGTTATGTAACGGCCCAAAACACATGTCACAATTATTCTTAATTAATTATGCGATGATATGGATTATTGGGGAATATCTATTTGAATTGGAAAAATATATGTCAGGACTACAACTTCGGGACTGAAATTGACGACCATAATGGGTTCGGAAAACGAAATTGAACACGCCTCAAAATTTTAATTTCATCAAAAAAAAAAAAAAAAAAAAAAATTCTCCCCCCCCCCCTCTTCCATTTTCATGTCTACTTTTGTTCTTTCTGATCTCATAATTGAAATTGAAATGAACTTGTGTTCCCGCATTGTGTTGTTGTATGTTTATTATTGGGTTCTGAAAGTTTCATTCCAAACCTTGAAGAAGATTAGAGCATGTTATTATTATGAACAGCCTTTTCAAGATTAAGAGGTAAACGAGGAATTTGATTACTCTGCGGTTTGGAAGTAGCGTAGGAAGATGATTTTATGTAATTGGTACGGGATTTTCTATCCATAGATCACTCTATTCTTCCGGTGGGCCAAGATCCCAATATGTGCCTAATGTGAAACCACACGTAATTCTTTGGCCTTGTTTGAAAAGTTGACTATTTTAGTAAGCTATTTTAATTTTTGACTATTTTAATAGGTTAAAACTTTTGTATTTAGAAAGATGGTTGGATTTTTTGTAATTGGATGTGACGTTAATAAGAGAAAAAGTGAAATATTATGAGTTTGACATGACATTTTGTCTTATTAATTTTTCCCTAAAAATCAATTTTTAGGGAAAAATTTGAATTGGGAGTTGTGCAGCCGTAATTGTTGACTTTTGGTGAATAGTGTTAACTTTTTAACTTTTTTAGTAACTTTTTGCTTTTTTGGCTTTTTTGAAAGTACCCAAACTTTGCCTTTATCTAAAAAATCAAATTTTAGCATTTGCCAAACAAGGCCTTTGTCGTTTTCTTTTGGCAGGCCATAATGTGAGTGGTACTATTCCAAATTCATTTTGACATCGGATTCTTTAAAATACAAATAAAAATAAAATAAAATAAAATTCTTCTGTTAAATTTAGGAAAAACTGTCATCTTCCATCTCATGGAGACTTGGACATGATGTGGTCAAGGTTAGGTAAGTAGTTTGTGCATTCTCACCAAGACCAAATGCCATCATGAAGGAAAAAAATAGAGTAAAAACCAAACTCATAGACCCCAAAGATAAAATGGAGTATCTAATACTGTATTATTGTTAACAGGACCAACTCTTACGAACAAAGTGAAACAAATGGTTTCCAAAATGTCACAATTTTATAGCAAAAATAAAATGAAGTACAAATTGAGTTCTATTATTAATGTAAGGCACAAAAAACACATAGCCTACTGCTTAGATAAACGGTAATACCAATAAATCTCAAACAGGGGAGGGGAAAGGGTAAAGGATCAGACCGCGTCTTAACTATAATTCTTTGATTCAACACAAGCCAATTGAACAGAGCATATCTTCTTTAAGCCACGGCAGGCATGTCCTTGAGCCAAGCATCCAGAGGCTTACCAATTGAGTACACAATGAACCCAATATCCCTCAGTTTATCTGCATTCACAACGTTCCTACCATCAAAGACGAAAGCTGGCTTCTGCATGTTGTCATATATCCTTTGGTAATCCAGATTCTTGAACTCATCCCACTCGGTGAGAATGCAAATACCATGAGCGTCTTTTGTTGCCTCGTATGCGTCCCAAACCACACTGACTTGCTTCACAGTTGTAGGACTCATTGGCTGGAGGTGGAGAGGATGGTCCCAGTCAAACTTGTTCATTGTAAGATCTCTCTGGATTTGGTCCTCCGTGACCTGTGGGTCATAGATGCTCAACCTGGCCTTGTCCCCCAATAGCCCCTTGCACACATCAATAGCAGGGGTCTCTCGGGTGTCACCTGTATCCTTCTTGAAGGCAAACCCCAAAATGGCAACCTTTTTGTTTGAAACTGTGTTAAACATGGAGGAAACAACACGGTTCACAAAGCGACTCTTCTGATAATCATTGATCTTGATGACTTGTTTCCAGTATTCAGCTACATCCGGAAGGCCATTGCACTCGCAAATGTAAACCAAGTTCAAGATATCCTTTTGGAAGCAAGAGCCACCAAAACCAACACTAGCATTCAGGAACTTGGGCCCAATCCTAGAGTCGGTACCCACAGCATAAGACACCTGTGTCACATCGGCTCCGGTAGCCTCACACAGTGCTGACATGGCATTAACAGATGAGATTCTCTGGGCCAAGAAAGCATTGGCAGCAAGCTTAGAGAGCTCTGCAGACCATAGATTGGTGCATATGATGCGGTCTTCAGGGACCCAGTGAGCGTAGACATCCTTCAGTGCCTTGATTGCCTTCTGGCCATCTGGGGTATCCCTGCCTCCAATGAGGACCCGGTCAGGACGGAAGAGATCTTGGATTGCAGTACCCTCTGCAAGGAACTCTGGGTTTGAGAGAATTTGGAAGTTAATTCCCTTGCTGTTGTGGGTCAGAATTTTCTCTATTGCCTCAGCTGTTTTGACGGGGACTGTTGATTTCTCGACCACTATTTTATCAGATTTTGACACATCAGCAATCATACGGGCTGCACTCTCCCAGTATGTCAGATCTGCAGCTTTGCCTGCTCCAAGACCCCTAGTCTTGGTCGGCGTATTGACAGAAACAAAGACTATATCAGCTTCGCATACATGTTTCTCCACATCAGTACTGAAGAAAAGGTTCTTGCCTCGACACTGCTTCACCACATCATCAAGACCTGGCTCGTAGATGGGGAGCTGGTCACTGTTCCAGGCTGTAATACGAGGAATAGAAATATCAACAACGGCCACTTCAACGGAAGGGCACTTGAGGGCTATCACGGCCATGGTAGGACCACCAACATACCCAGCTCCAATGCAGCAAATCTTCACCATTTTCCTTCTCTATCTAGAACCTGGACAAAGAAAATTGGATATATAAAATACACAAACACAAATATTTTCGAGACCCCAAGTATTGTGCACAAACTTAGAGCTAGACTCCAAGATGCAATGACCGATTTGTAAACATTGGGGGGGGGGGGGGGGGGATCTAAGTTTAATCATTAGTAAAAATAAAATATTTCATTGTCCCTTATTTTCTCTTTTTTTGCATATTTGTCTATATTTTATTGCAGGAAACAATTAACTGAATCTTAGTAAATAATCATTCTATCATCCATCAGTGCAAAACTAATTGCAACAAAAAAACATCGTAAGCATATTTTTCTGAAGCCTTTCCACATATCTACAATCCTGATGTAAACAATCGTGAAAAATTATTAACTAAATTTGCAAATATTTTAACAGAGTATCACAACACTTTTATCAGTATATGTATACCCCATGAAGCTAGATCCCACTTCACATAAAGAAAACTTGAGTCTCTTAGTAGAGATCTAATCTAATACTAATAAGTTCCTAGTTATCGAATCAGATCAACTACAGAAAAATAGAGGAGGCAGTAATTATGCAGACACTAATGATTGGCTTCATTTTCGAGTTCTAGCATCAGATCAATAGCAATTTAGAGTAAATAATAGGAAGAAAAAAAAATTGTTCTAACAGAGAAGAATTTTCCACTACTCGTGAACCAATAATTATCACAGCTTCGATCAGATCTAACAAGACAACACCTGATTCATGGTTCTGTTGCAAGTAATAAAAACTAAAAACACGCTAATTGAGCTAAAAATCTTGAGAAACGCTACAGATTTTACAGATCAAGTACGGAATTGCAGAAATGTCAACAGATCTGGAGATCCAAAACAAAAAACGAACAAAACTATAAAAGATCCATAGTTCCTAATCAAAAAACAACAAATCAAAACACTATACGGTTAAATCAGAACCACAAAAAGTCAGTCAATTCTCAAAGAATTGAAAGCCAACCTTCAAATCAAATCCAAAACACACATAATGAAAGATTGAAAATGAGATGAAAACTTACCTCCTCACGCGGAAGATCAATAGAGAGAAAGTAGAACGAGAATCTAGGGAGAGGAAGTGTGCTAAAGAGGTTGGGGGTGCTGCAAGAGTCGGAGACAGACAAACCGATATCAAAACAAGGAGGGCGGGCACCTCTTTATATACCGTTGCGAGTTACACTAGGCGGTGTTTGGGAAGTTTTTTTTTTTTTTTTCTACTAAAATACAAATGGGTTATAAAACTAAAAAAATAAATTCAAACAAAATATCACATCAAATTTCTATAATTATTTTATTTTTTTTCTCATAAACATCACATCCAATCATAAAAAAATCTAATTATCTTCTTAAACACAAAAAAAAAATTCTTCAATAATATCCTACAACTAAAAAAATTTACAAAAAAAACCCATTTCACAAACACCTACTATGTTTGGATTGACTGATTTGAAGATAAGAGAAAAAAAATTGAGGGATAGAACGAGAATCTAGGGAGAGGAAGTGTGCTAAAGAGGTTGGGGGTGCTGCAAGAGTCGGAGACAGACAAACCGATATCAAAACAAGGAGGGCGGGCACCTCTTTATATACCGTTGCGAGTTACACTAGGCGGTGTTTGGGAAGTTTTTTTTTTTTTTTTTCTACTAAAATACAAATGGGTTATAAAACTAAAAAAACAAATTCAAACAAAATATCACATTAAACTTTTATAATTATTTTACTTTTTTTTTTCACAAACATCACATCCAATCATAAAAAAATCTAATCATCTTCTTAAACACAAAAAAAATTTCTTCAATAATATCCTACAACTAAAAAAACTTACAAAAAAAACCCATTTCACAAACACCTACTATGTTTGGATTGACTGATTTGAAGATAAAAGAAAAAAAATTGAGGGATATATATATTATTTAGATAATGTAAGTAGAGAGAAACTCATTTTTTTTATAATTCTCATTTTTAATTTTTTTAAAAGTG